ACAGCCGTCAACTGGTCTTCCAGTGTCAGCCGTGGATCCAGGAGGACACCCAGATTGCGTACCCTCTCTGAGGGAGCCAGAGTTTCGCCCCCTATAGTCAGCGACGGAGTCAGCTGACTATGCCTGGGAGCCGGCAACCACAGCCACTCAGTCTTGGAAGGGTTGAGCCTGAGTCTGTTTCTCCCCATCCAGACCCGTATGCCTGGTTGAAGGGGAAAGGAAGGAAGGAAGGAAGATTGAAGGGGAAAGGAAGGAGATGGAGAAGGAAGGAGATTGAAGGGGGAAGGAAGGAAGGAAGGAAGATTGAAGGGGAAAGGAAGGAGATGGAGAAGGAAGGAGATTGAAGGGGGAAGGAAGGAAGGAAGGAAGGAGAGAGAGATTGAAGGGGAAGGGATGGAGATGGAGATGGAAGGAAGGAAGGAAGGAGATTGAAGGGGAAAGGAAGGAAGGAAGATTGAAGGGGAAAGGGGAGGCATGTGCGATGGTGCTGCAGCAGCAGGAGCATGTGCTGTTGGAGGAGAAAGGCGCCCTGGAGGCAGAGGAGCCAGCGGAGGAGGAGGAGGGCGGCGGCGGCTGGATAGAGTAGCGGTGTCTCGGTTCCTAAGACCATCGGAAATATGTGTGTTCCGATGGTCTTAGGCGACCCCTGTGAAAGCGTCGTTCGACCCCCAAAAGGGTCGCGACCCACAGGTTGAGAACCGCTGCTTTAGAGTGATGGGAGGCGCCTGAGACAGAAGGTTGCTGTGACACGCTGGTACACGCCTGAGACCATTGTGACTTATGATGAAAGGACGAGGCTTTCTTAGAGGTGTGAGAGGAAGCCATGTGTGACCGCTGGGATGGTGCATGCGAACGATGGGACACTTCGGCCTCAGCCTTCTAGCTCAGTGTGTCCTTTGCCTGAAGTTCGGCTTGGAGAGACTCTTTGCTGCTTTGTAGGAGCTTCTCACGCTTTCTGTTTATCAGCTTGAGGTGTTGCATTTCCTCTTTGAATGCTAAATTCCTAGCTGCGACTGGATGTCTGTGAGGCAGCATTCATAGTCTGTCCATTTTAGGAGAAGTCTGTCCATATCCTCTTCCAAAGAACAAATGCACTTGGGGGAAAGCTTATCTTTGGATGCGTAGCAGAGTTTCTGCAGCTTCTCCCAGGATTCCTCATGACGCTGATAGAGGCTATCCCACTTCTCCAGCAGGCTTGACTGCTTGGCTTCGGTGGGCTTTCTTTGATGCCTCAAGTCATAAGGTTTCTGAGATGTTTCTGCCTTTTCCCAATTTTGTACATCAGGTTCTGCACACAAATCGAGGTTAGTTGGAAGGACCTGCTCTTCTGGCACATTGGGACTCTCTGCCATGACTAGAGAAGTCCTGGATATTTCAGAAGACTTTAATAGAATTTTCTCTTTGACCACTAGGATGCGCTATATACAAATAGCTTGAATGCTGGCCTGTTGTTTGCAGATTGGCCACCAGAGGGCGTGGTGTCTAGGCCACTAGGGTGCATTGTATACAAATAGCTTGAATGCTGGCGTTGTTTGCAGATTGGCCACCAGAGGGCACTGCATCTAGGCCACTAGGGTGCGCTGTATACAGATAGCTTGAATGCTGGCCTGTTGTTGCAGATTGGCCATCAGAGGGCGCTGTGTTTAGGCCACTATGGTGCGTTGTATACAGACAGCTTGAATACAGGCCTATTGTTTGCAGATTGGCCACCAGAGGGCGCTGCACCTAGACTACGCTTAGGATAGACTGGCTTTTGCCTGATCCCTTTAATAAGAACTGCAAAGCTTTTGGGCATCCGCTTCTGGAATTTCTAAATGCTTGCTTTCCTGATATCGAAATTCCAAGTTAGACTGTGGAAGTTTGCACTATAAAAGAGGCTCAGTTTGCTATTTCTCTTCAAGCAATAGTCAAGGGAACAGCTGAAGGCTTCACTTAATCACATAGGCTGGGATCATTTGTCTCCTCTGTGATTGCAACACAGGAGATTTCTGTAGGAGATATCGGCTTTCACATTCTGATGCTGGCTAGCTTTCTCATGCAAATTGTCCTGTCTCTTAGCAACAAATTGCTTTCTCCTACAAACATGCAGAGTGGCAATTCAAACAAGGGGGGTGGGCTGGCTAGCTGGGTTTGCCAGGCAAGTTCTGAGTGATCTCTTAGACAAACGCAAACGGTGTTGTTTCTTACTTTGAGCAAAGATGCAATCTTTCTACTTGGAAATGCTGAGCCGGGCAGAGAAGATTCAAATACACATACTGTACATCTCTCCGTTTCTAAGTTGTCTCTTTATATAGGCAGGCAGAAGAAGCATGCAGGCAAAGATCAGAGGTAGATTTCTAATCTTTTTTACTTTAAGTAGGCAGAAGAAGATTGATTCTTTTTTACTTTAAGCGAAGGAAGAAACATATATTTCCTTTTACTGTCCTGGTTCAAGCAAAGGAGATTGACGAATATTACTTGATACAGGCAGAATAACTCCATGGAAGGGATTCATGCAAATAACTTTATTCATCAGGCATCCTCAAGTCAATAACTTACAGTTACTGTAGAGATTCTTCTGGAATATAGACTGTAATCTGGACCCATCACATAGGTAAAAGGAAAATAGCTTCTTCCATACTAACGGAGCTACTAATCCTCGTGGCTGGAATTCATAGAGACCTCGCTGACTGGCACGTAACCAGGATATGCCGTAATAAAACAGAAGTCCCTCCCAGTAGCCAATCCCAACACTAATAATAATAATAATAATAATAATACATTACCCAGAAGGCCAATCCCTTAAGGGAACAGTTCTTAATTCCTAAGCTAGCTATATACTCTGACCAGCACACTCATGTTTGTATTACATCTAGTCATAGTCATATCTTATTGAATTCTAGGTTCTGTGACTGCATGACTGTCTGAACCATAACCTGATATAGATCAGCATTTCAGGACACACTGAACAACACTGTAATTGGCTAATAGGTCTGTACAGAGGGCCAGAATAAAGTGCATATATTGAACATCTTAGCTGCACTTTCCCTGAGCATCCTTGACTGGCCACAACAGTTGATATAACCCAGTAAAAGGCACATTTGGGTTTAGGTCACTGTTTCTCAACCTTGGGAACTCTGAGCGGTGTGGACTTCAACTCCAAAAATCCCCCATGCTGGCTGGGGAATTCTGGGAGTTGAAGTCTTCAAAGCTTAAAGTTCCCAAGGTTGAGAAACACTGGTTTAGGTGGTTCCTGTAAGACACTACATGTGTTCTCCGGTGTACTCAGAATAGTATTTTGCCCTTTGAATCTCTGCAAAATCCTGGCTCAGTGTTTTTTGCCAATATAGCTACTTTCACATGTGTTTGGCACAGTAAAGTTTTTATCTGCAATTTTTCTATGCCAAAGTGTTATTGAGAAAGCACGTTGAGCTTAATGAAATTATATAGCTAGTAGTATTATACATCAGCAGTACCAATGGCCATTTTTTCAGGTATAACATCTGCTGCCTCTTTCAAGTTATTTTTCATGCCTTTGCACAGAACATTTCCACTGAACTAACATAGCAATATACAATATTTTCTTTTTCTCTCTCTTCTCTTTAGCAGGCAAGCATTTTGAAAAGAATGCTGACCAAAGATCTTTTGAAGTTTGACCTACTTATTAGTATTTGCAGACACACACATAAGCTCAAAAAAACCCATATTCAGCAGGAACTTGGCAATGTTTAACTGTGGAGATAATAGCTGCCATTAAAGATTAGCAATACCAGCTGCTTTAAGTTTGGGGAGATTTTGGAAGCCAGGGTAAAGCAGAGGCAACTGATTGGGTAAACTTTTTAAATTGTACTTTAAATCATCAGATTAATGATTGAAATTCTGCTGAACTGAACAACCAAAGGTCTATAATTAGCTTCTATTGAAGTCTATAAAGATATCCAGTTTGGCTAATTTAAGGTAACATTTGCGTTTATTCCTTGATTGCTTTTGGAGAAACAAGACACAATGTCATCTGTCAAAGTTGAATGTGTTGTGCCAGTTAACTGCGAGATTGGAGAATCGCCTGTGTGGGAGGAAAAGGACAATTCCCTTCTTTTTGTAGACATAACCGACCAAAAGGTCTATCGGTGGCATTCTCTCACTAAAGAAGTGCAAAGTATTTCTGTGGGTAAGTAAAACAGTTTCATTTTAATAAGCTAAATGTTTCCCTTTATTCTTGAATATTTAATGTTCTAAAGCTTAAGTGATAGAAGCATGTTAATAGTTGAATAACACAAAAAACCAGCATGTTGTCTTGGGTGGAGGATCAGGCTGGCTGTTGTGAAATACTACATGACAACTTTCAAAGGAAAGTTAGCAAAATTGTTAGGTATACAGTTATTTTTTGTTACTACCATTTCTTCTTTCCTCCTAATCCCTTTAATGTGGTTTCCAGATGCCCCAGTGAGCACTGTATCACTTCGTAAATCTGGTGGCTACATTATTACATGGGGAACCAAGTTTGCAGCTCTGGACTGGAAAAAGAAGTCCGTTACCACCATTACTGAGGTGGAGAAGGATAAACCCAACAACCGATTCAATGATGGGAAAGTGGATCCTGCAGGAAGACTAGTTGCAGGTAACTAGGTCTTAATTCAATCTATAAAAAAATATTCATTTTTTTCTCCTCAAGAAATTGTATCCTTTGTAAGATGGTAGTTTCTAGTTCCATTCAGTAGACCTTGATCTCTGCTGCTCCTTCCATAGGCAGGGCTGAGTTGCTGAGGAGAAAATGAGGTCCTACATTTACACTTCCATACCATTAACCATACATATTATTTGAGGAATGGAATGGGCAAATGATGAAGAATGTATGACAATCTCTAAATCAAATGCTGTGGCTTATGTACTTGTATCACACTATAAGACTCCGTCATATAATGGTAACATTTTTAGGATAATGTCATTGTGGGACATCCTTTTGGTGTTACTGTGGTTTGCTGCAAATTTCATTGACCATCACACTGATCACCAGGATATGTATCAGTCCTGACCCTATTATAGTAACTTGCTGTGGTGTGTGCATATGATCCTATCTGCCTACTGAGTTTCAAGTGCTGGATATGTGTACATTTTTCTTTTGTCCATAAAAACTTATTTTTAACTGGGATAGTTTGTATTTTGATTTTGAAACCAATTGTTTTAATTTTAAAATCTTCCCAGTACATTTTTTCTCAAACTTAACCAGGGACTATTTCTATCACCACAGAAAATTTCAACAAACAATATTTTTAAGGTATTAAATTGTTAATTTACAAGGTACTTGCAATTTGTCTCACATGTAATCTACTTCTGCATAACAAACCCATCTTCTCTTCTCCCCACCTTACCCTGGTTTAAATCCTATAGTTAATCCAATCCAATCAATCAAAATATAGATGGAAGGGACCTTGGAGGTCTTCTATTCCAACCGTTGGCTCAAGTAGGACACCCTATATCATTTCAGATAGGTGACTGTCCAGTCTTTTCTTAAAAACCTCCAGTGATAAAGTCCCTACAACTTCTGAAGGCAACCGTTTCACTGGTTAATTGTCCTCACTTTTAGGAAGTTTCTCCTTAATTCCAGGTTGCTTCTCTCCTTGATTACTTTCCATCCATTGTTTCTTGCCTTCTGGTGCTTTGGAAAATAAGTTGACCCCCTCTTCTTTGTGGCAACCCCTCAAATACTAGAATACTGCTATCATGTCACCCCTGGCCAATGGTGGGATTCAGCCGGTTCGCACCACTTCGGCAGAACTGGTAGCTAATTTTTTGTTGCCCAGACCAGAATGGACTTCTGGCATCCATACATATTGTTCACATATTTGAATCCCACCACTACCCCTAGTCCTTTTTTCTCTAGACTGGCCATATCCAATTCCTGCAACTGTTCTTCAGATGTTTTTGTCTCCAGGCCTTTAATCATCTTGGTTGCTTTTCTTTGCACTTTTTCCAAAGTCTCAATAACTTTTTTGTAACGTGGTGACCAAAACTGAATGCAGTATTCCAAGTGTGATCTTACTAAGGCTCTATAAAGTGATACTAAAGTGATACATATGATTTTGATTCTATGCCTCTGTTTATACACTGCTGGTTCATGTTTAAGTGATCGTCCACTAGGATTCCAAGATCCCTCTCAAAGTTACTGTTTTTGAGCCAGATTTCGCTTATTCTGTACTTGTGCCTTTGGGTTTTCCTGCCTAGGTGTAAAACCTTGCTTTTCTCCACATTAAATTTCATGTTGCTCAAGTCTGTCAAGATAGTTTTGGATCCTGAGCTTGTCTTCTGGGCTGTTGGCTATTCCTGCCAGCTTAGTGTCATCTGCAAATTTGATGAGTTCTCCCTCTATTCCCTCATAAATGACTTAATTTATGAAGATATTGAAGAATACTGGGCCTAAGACAGAACCTTTTGGTACCCCTCTGCTTACTTCCCTCCATGTAGATGTAATACCATTAAGAATGACTCATTGAGTACAGTTTGTCAGCCAGCTACAGATGCATCCGATGGTGTTGTTGTCTATCCCACCTTTTTCTAGCTTACTAAGCAGCAGGTTGTTGTGATGACCCAGGGCCCCGAATGGAGGCAAAGCAGTCGGCTAGTAAGAACAGCAGTCCTTTAATCATTGCCAATGTTGCCCAAAAGCTCCCACATATGCTGGCAAGAGTTCAACCAATACAGCCAGGGAAGTTTACAATATTCTCAAGACAAGACAGATAACAAAAAAAATGTAGAGTCCTTTTAACTTTCAACTTGCCTGCAAACTGCAAACTGCAAGCTGCAAACTGCAAACTGCAAACTGCAAACTGCAAGGAGAGACTCAGGAATGCAGTCTGTGGTTGTGAAACAAACTGGTCCGGAATTCAAAGTGTCCAGGTTAAACACAGACAAGAGCACAATTCACAACTATCTCAAGATACCACGTTTGTTCCTGGCAAATGCCCCACCCCACAGCATCTCCTTAAATCCTAATCCCCAGGTGTGCCTTGTGGAGTGGGGTGGGACGCTCTCCTCCTGAGCAATTGAGCCTGCCTCCGTTGTTCTCTCCTCCTCTCTGCTCTCCTTGCTCTAGGATCAGGTGGGGGGGGGCTTGCTCCTCGCCTGATCTCTGCCTTTCCTGTTCCAAACCTGAAGGGCCCTGGCCTGCCTCAGCCTGCTCCTCCCTACAGTCCTCCGAAGCCACAGATACCCCCTCCTGGGCCTCAACAGAGAAGTCTTCCTCGGAGTCAGGCTCGGACGGAGGCATGGCAGTTGTGCTCTACTTTGTCAAATGCCTTGCTGAAGTCTAAGTATATTATGTCCACAGCATTTTGGTGGTCTACTACAGGGGACCCCAAACCGTGGACCTGGCTAGTGCATGCGCATGTACGCGCTCGTATCCCCCACTTGCTCTAACATCATGGCATCGTGCCAGTGCTAGTGATGCCACGAGCATTATGCAGGCTCTAGCGTTGCTGCGAGTGCACACTCCTCCCACTTACGCTAGAACAGTGGCATTGGACAGGCACTATCGTCGCCGTGAGTGCACACTCCCCCGACTTGCACTAGTATCGCAGCATCACCCGGGTGCTAGCATCGCCTGGGCACTCGTGGCTCCATTTGCATCATGTGCACACTCGTGGGTGATTCGTGCATGCGTGCGGCCCATTCGTGTGTACGCTTGACCCTGTTCTCGCATGCATAAAGGCACCTTCACCTCCCGCCACAAACCCAGGATGGTTGGGGACCTTTGGTCTACTAATTTAGTCACTTTGTCAAAGAATGAAATAAGAATGATTTGGTGTGATCTGTTTTTAACAAACCTGGGCTGGCTACCAGTTATAACTTTATTTGTTTCTAGATGTTCACAGATCTGGTTTTTTATTATTTTTTCCAGTATCTTCCCAGATATTGATGTTAGGTTGATTGGTCTATAGTTTCCTGAGTCTGTTTTTTTCCTTTTTTGAAGATGGGAACCAGCTCTTTTCCAATCCTCTGGTAGTTCCCCAGTGCTCCAAGATTTTTTAAAGATACGATACAATGGTTCTGAAATAACATCTGCCAGCTCCTTCAGAACTCTGGGATGTAATCCATCAGATCCTGGTGATTTTTATTCATCAAGGTCAGACAGGTGTTCTCTTACCATTTTTTTTGCTTATTTTAATTTTTATTTCTAGTCTGTCTTTTACAGTTATGTTTTTGGTAGATTGGGCTATAGTGTTTTTTGCGTGAAGACTGGTGCAAAGAATGAGTTAAGCAACTTTGCTTTCTCTCTACTTTTACTCCTTGACATTTTCTCTCTTTAGTGGAATGACTGTTTCCTTGACTGTTTCCTTGTTATTTATATGTTGAAAGAAACCTTTTTTATTATCTTTGACTTTTGTAGCAAGACTTTGTTTATTCTGAGCCTTTGCTTTCCTGACTTCATCTTTGCAGATTCTGGCTATCTGCTGATATTCTGCATTAATTATGTGTCCTTCTTTCCATTTTTTGTACTTATCCTTTTTGTCTTTCAGTTTATCACCGAGATGTTTGTGTAACCATGCTGATTTCTTCTTAGATTTGTTTTTTTTTCAGTGATATTGTGTTGGACTATACTTTTATGATAATATTTTTCAGTGTTTCCCATGCTTCTTAAGTTGTTTTCCCTTTTTAGGATTTTTATCCATGAAATTTTACTTAGGCTTTCTCTAAGTTTGTTAAAATCAGCTCTTTTAAAGTTTAAGGCAGTGGTTGGATTATATTCTATTGCTTGCGTTTGCGTTATATTGAATTCCAACATGACGTGGTAACTCTTGCCCAAGGTTTTAGTAACATCAACTCCCTCTATCACTTCTTTTCTATTAGTAAGAATTAGGTCCAGTGTAGTTTTTCCTCTAGTTCCCTCCTCTACCTTTTGGATGACACAGTTGTCAGCTAAAGTTGGTTAAGAATCTGTTTGATCTCCCACTTGCTGCTGAGTTTGTCTCCCAGTTGATATCAGTGTAGTTAAAGTCTCCCATTACTACTGTGGTATGTTTCCTATATATATGCATCTATTTCTTCTGCTTGGTTGGGTGGCCTGTAGTATACTCCTATAGCAATGTCATTTCCCCCCCTTTTATATTGACCCATATGGATTCTAGGAGGTTTTCATCCTTGGTTTTGTGTATTTCTGTAGAGCTGTAGTGATTTTTTACAGTGTTAGCAGTGTTCCAATATCTCAGGGGCTGCCACAAAGAAGAGGGAGTCAAGCTATTCTTCAAAGTGCCTGAAGGCAGGACAAGAAGCAACGGATGGAAACTAATCAAAGAGAGAAGCAACCTAGAACTAAGGAGAAACTTCCTGACAGTTAGAACAATTAACCAGTGGAACAACCTGTAGGGTTGTCAGGTCTGCTTCCCAAAAATAGCGGACAAGCGGGGGGGGGGGTGTTAAGTAGTAAAAAAAGTAGACTGTACAGCTTTAGATTATGTACCATTTCATCATAAAGCTTTTGAATAAAAAAATGTCCACTATTTTGTGAAAAAAAATAGTGAACATAATGTGAAAAAAGTGGACTGTCCACTCAAATAGTGGACACCTGGCAACCCTAACAACCTGCCTCCGGAAGCGGTGAATGCACCAACACTGGAAGTTTTT